ACAGACTGGTGAGGTGATTTACCGTCTTCCTCTAATGCCCATAAGGAATTCAGTAACATCAGCAAGAGGCCGGCCAGCTTGACTCTTCACTCTCATCTCTGCCCTATACTCTCAGCTACATCTCATCTCAGAAATATGCGGCTGGCCTCTCGGCACCCTGTTTATCCCGGAGACGGTGCATGGTGACCGGAGGATTCTGCACTGGGGAAGGTGGAAAGCACGGAAGCCTGCATCCTAGGAATGCCACCCCACAGAGGCCATTAGAGAATCGATTCACAGAAAATGAGCCCAGATCAATGACACACAGCTCCTGCCAGGCAATCCTGGAAACTTTGCTCCCTGCATCCTCTGAGAGCTGCTACTGCCTCCCACCACCTCTCCTCTTCCTTCCACATTCACAAGAATTTAGTATTTCAGCAACCTGGACCAAAAGCCTGTTGTAACCTAGAGCCATGGCTCTCATGGTATCAGAAACAATGGCTCACTTTTAAAACTATCTTTAAGTGGAATTCTTAGATATCCTAACACATCACACAAACAATGGGAGGGGTCCATAATACAAGGCCCCACCTCTAACAGAGATGAATTAGAAGGAAGGCGGGCCAGAAGGCACTGCTATGGATTACAGTATTTACAAGGTGAGTACTCTCTAAGACAGTGAGAGGAGGGAATCCTTGGGAAAACAGCTACTAACATAAATTGAAGCAGGTGTGCCACACAGTTAGACACAAAAGCTTCCCTACGGATGACAAGAGTTTCTGAAATGGCAAACTATTCTTGGGAAAATTCAACAAAGTACAAGCTTCCCAGATTTCCCTGGCAGTATCATTCCTAGAAAGTTCAGTAAATACTAAAACCGTGCACATAAAAGTTAGGCTCTAAACTCAAATATCAGACACAGGTTTTCACCTGGTAACTCTCCAGCGGGCATGCAGGCTGTGCAGGAGGCGGCACAGCCCCCGCCAGGCTGGGAAGTGCTGTGCATGGCAAGTGTGACATTCTTGGATGCAGCCACTGACCAGGAGCACCCCCAATCACTGTGACACCCACATCACCCCATGAGGGTAACTCTGCCCCATGAGAACCAGTCCTTTATACCAAACTGCCCCCTCAGGACAAAGTGCCAATGGAGGCCAGAGTAATTCATGCAAATGGTGTTGAGTTGAGACTGTCCATTCAGATACCAGACCATCAAAAAGTCTCCTCCACTACCCTCTTCCGCAGACACTGTCACTTGGGTGCCCCTGCCCCTCTCATCCTTCCCTCTGGGTAGGTCATGTGCCCCCTGAAGAATATTGTTTTTACCTGGTCACTACTTAAACAAACTTTGGACAAGCACAAATTCAAAAGACAAATGGTCCTTCAATGAGTGCTCACCCCCCCAGTGGTCATGAACTTCACCCATGATGAAAGGGCTACTTTAACAGAATGCTTGGCTATGACTGGTTATATGACTTATTTAGGAAAATAAGTTTACTTGATAAACTCACTGCCAAAATAAAACATACCTACAAATCCTAAACAAAAATAATGAACAACTTTGGTCATTTGGCCTCAGAAGCACAGTGATCCCTGCCATGCCCAATGATGTACAAACGTTCCTCGTAGTTTCCGTCAGGCCTTTGGAAAGAGCCTAGCTGCATTTTAATAAGGAACCATTAAAAGCAACCTAATTCTATAAATAGAAACTTCACCAATTTAATTATTTAAAGCATCATAAAATGTGGTTCTATGGACATGTGTGTCTTTTCTATATTAAAACAATGTGCACAATCGGAAATATAAACTTACAACCTTCGGTTTGAGTAACAGGGAAACTAACAAAAAAAAAAGGTCCAAAAAAATAAAATTTCTTCTCAAAGTAAACTAATTTAGCGTTCAGACAATTAACATCTCTCTCACACACACACCTTCCATACTTCATATTGAGTTTACAAGAAAAAACAGCACATTGTTAAGCCAGCCAAGCGTGACTGGTGGCAGACCCCAGAGCTAAGAGGACAGAGAGCAAGGACTGCAATTTCAGGTAATGCTTGAAAAAGCGCAAAAACTTTAAAGTAGTTCCTAGCTTTCTTTTGTTCATAAAAAATACCAAGTAAGGGTGAAAGGTTAAGATGACTCCTTAAGTTTGGCTGCGGTAAGGATGTGGAGACACTGGAAGCCTCACGCATCACTGGTGAGAATGTAACACGGTGCAGTCATTTTCAAAAACAATCCGGTAGTTCCTTAAAAAGTTAAGTATAAATTTACCATACAGCTCCTAGGTGTCTACCCAAGAGAACTGCAAAAACTGTGTTTATAGTAGCACTATTCATGACAGCCCCAAACTGGAAACCACCCAAAGGCCCATGGACAGGTGGAAAGACAGACCACACGTGGCAAAGCCACACAATGGAATTCTATTCAGGAACAAACCCCTGATGCAAGGTACAACTGGGATGGACCTCCAAATGCTGTGCTCAGTGAAAGAACGCAAACACATACGGCCGCGTATTATATGAGTCCACTGATGTGAAATGCCCAAAAGAGGCAAATCTATAGAAACAGAAACTGGTTGCCTAGGGCTAGGGAGACGAGAAAGCGGGAGTGACCGCTACTGGGCAGCAGGGATCTTAGTGAGATGGTGCAGATGTTCTGAACTGGACTGGTGATGACTGCACACCCTGGAAAACTTACTAAAAAGCAGGGAATTATATACACTATATTAAGGTATGTGAATTATACTTCCAAGCTGTGACACACTCACACACTCACACACACACACATACACAGCTGAAGCCCTGGGCAGCTACAAAGTGAAACATCTGTGTTTTGGTCGTCTCTCTCTCTTTCTTGACTCCATAGTAGGAAAGATGACATCAGGCCATTAACATTGTGAGAACGCAGAATTCTGCTATTCAATTTCCTCTTAAAGATAATAAAGGAACACTGGGGGAAGGAGGCGCTCAGGGGGAGCAAATAAATCTGCTCTTTCCTCATTATGGAGTTCAAACCGGGTCAGAGCCCTATTAGCTGGTAAGCATGAGGAGCTTACTTATTACTGCCTGCTGCCAGCAGGGCTGGGGCCTGGGAACGTGGAGTCCCCTGCCCTATGGCACAGACCTTTGATGGCAGACCCAGGCTGGGCATGAGCCTAAGCATGATGACGGACACTCCAAACAGTCAGGAAAATGAGAAACTCAGGAGAGTCTTATGTTTAGTTCATGCACTAAAATCTAATACAAGTCACTTAGCTCCCAAACCTCAAGGTTAGGTTTTATTTGTTAAAATCAATATCAGCAGCACTTCTCAATTTTGCATAATGAAAAACCTCAATCTGGTAAACAGGCATACAGTGCACCATGCCCTAAGATGACCTATCTCGCCTTCCCCTGCCGTCACCACCCGAGTCAGCTTTCACCAAGCATCTACTAGGTACAAACACTGCTTCACTTAGTCGGGCAGGGGCAACGTGGCAGCTTGCTTTGCACTCACGACAGGCCCCTTCTGGGCAGGACGAGGGACTAGACAGCAACCGGCACTGCTGCTGATGCAGACCGGGCTCTGGAGCTATGTCTGAATGCTGTGGGCTGACAGTACTCATGGGAGGCTAAGGGGCAGGGCAGCAAGCATATGGAATAGCCCTGCTGGGAGACAGCTCATGGAAGAAGAGCAAGGACAAGCCAGTCAGTCTCCTTAGTTTCCCAACTATCCACAGCCAGGACACCAAGACTGCCCTTGCCACCTACTCACAGGAGGGCCTAGCTGGAAGCCTCAGCCCATGTGCCATGTCCAGAAGACAAGCATCTTAGGGCCAATCTGACAGAAATGGTATGGAATTATTTATAGTTAAAGTTGGTAGGACAAAAAAATTCATCGTAGGAGAAATGAAATGCTGTGGAAAAGAGTTGAACGGACAGGAAAAAAGAAATACTATATTTATCCCCTCCTCTCCCACCACCACCCTTGAGTATTTTTATTTTAAGAAGGAAGCAATGAAACTTCTCCCTACCAACATTCTCCCCCCACTCAGAGACACACTGTCAGACAAGCTGGCTAACAGGGCCACTGGTATGGTGAGCCCCACACCCAGGCCGAGGACAGATCGTCATAGTTCTAGGGCAGGCAGCACTCATACAGCGTCACACCAATACGCACGTCAGACCACTGCGCTACAGCCTGCGAAATCCTCGAGCCGCTCACTGCTCACGGAGACGTAGAGCATGGTCTGGGAGGAAACCGGGAGAATGTTCCAGCAGCAGCCTCCTCTGAGCTCATACTGCACCTGACTTTGCGTGAGCCTGACGCTGAGCTGCTGGTCTGTCAACAGAGGTAAGAATATTCCAGAATGCCAAGGACAAATGACATTTACCAGCAATGTTTTCTCATGCTTCATTCCCCTTGGTCCCATCCCACTTTCCCTCTCATTCCTTCATCTCTATTTAAAATAAATTTCACAGGGGAAAGGATCAGGTGGGTAAAGTGGCAACCCACACTTGACATGAAAATTATTCTACATTAAAACAAATCTTTCCCATAAAATATTCAAGTATGCTCATAATTAAAAGGGCATGTGGAGTTTCAGTCCTTACAATTAAGAAGCCACAGTCGGTCCAATGGGTTTTGTCCAATGACCCTTTTAACTACTTGAAAATGATGTCTGATTATCAAATAATGTTATGGCTTATCTATAAAAACTTCTTTCTAAAAATTATTGATCCTGACTTACAGAAGCAAGGACATTCTGTGAAACCTTTTTAAATCATGCATAACACATCACTCACACTTGGAGACAAACACCAGGCCCATTTCTTCTGTATCTGAGTGGGTCTCTATTACTGAGTCAGTGCCCAGGGAAACTCACTATTCTGAGCCAGTTCTTTAAGAATGATAGTTACTGTGAAGTCGGGCCTCTGTAGTGCTGGGGGGAAAGTACCTCAGCACTTGTTTTGAAAGCTTCCTGCAGTTCTATAGTGCTCAGGACACCAGCAAGCATTGTATTTCTGGATGACCAGACCTTCTGCAAATTGAGATCACTTTAATTAAGATCTGAACCTAAATCAATAAAATAGCATCCGATGACTTCAATGAAAACTCTCTTTGGAGGAGCCTAGTGGAAACTTGCAACAGAACCTGAGGTGAAATTTGCCTGGGACAGAGTGGCCCACACAGCAGATTCCTAGGTCAGCCCAGGAGACAGGTGTTAGGAGTGGCTGGGACCTGCCGGAAAGGTAATTGGGCCGTCTCCCTAGTCTTAGAGCTGGGGACACTTCAGCTGGCCCACAGACACCACACTGATGTTCTAAACACGCGCCCTTATGGTTATTCTTCCATTGTGGCTACATCTCTTGGTCGATCCTACTGGTTCTCAGGGCTTCTTTGGTTCTCATAATGCACCACAGATGATGATGGACATTAAATCCTGAAAATGATATTGGAAAAGCTCGTCACCAATAATATTAATAACTACCATTGTTAGTATTACTAACATTGTGAGCAATGGCCCAGTGGCAGCGTCTGCTAAATGCTTTACAGAAACTATTTTACAGATGAGGAAACCTGGCTAGTTGTCCAAGATACAAAAGCTACTAAGAGCTGAAGACGGAACTTCAATCCATTTTTCTGACTACAGATTACATGTCCTGAAGGACTAAAGAGGGGGGGAAATGTACTTTATGATTTAAATTTAATTCTAAGAGCACAGATGAGCCACAGGCATCAGCTGAGGCCATCTCAAAGGTCTGTGGAGAGGAACGTTAATGAAAACCACAACTTTTAAGGATAAAAAAATAGTATCCATCCACAAGAGATTAACATTCCCTTGCTAAGAAAACTAGAGTTGGAAAACTGCTCCAGAAGTGAATGGTCTTGACAAATTAACACTCTCTGAGCTCTTGTTACAACAGCTACTTTATTTTAATTTTTAATTATTTCTGATACTAAGATTTACTATAATAGTCTTAAAAAAAGAGAAAGCATTGCCCTGATCAGGTGGCTCAGTTGGCTGAAGCAACATCCTATCCTCTACACCAAAAGGTCGCAGGTTTGATCCCTGGTCAGGGGCATACAGGAGGCAAGTGACCTATGTTTCTCTCTCACAGCCATGTTTTTCTGCCTGGTTCTCCCTTCCTCTCTCTCTAAAATCAATAAAAACAATTTAGCCCAGCAGGGCATGGCTCAGTGGTAGAGCATCAACCTAGGATAAAGGAGATCACGGTTCGATTCCCAGTCAGGGCACATGCCTGGGTTGCGGGCTCGATTCCTAGTCGCGGGGCGTGCAGAAGGCAGCTGATCAATGACAACTCTCTCATCATTGATGTTTCTATCTCTCTCTCTCCCTCTCTCTGAAATCAATAAAAAGATATAAAAAAAATAAAATAAAAGCAATTTAAAAAAGATAGTAATAAAGTATTTCCAAATATGCTGGTAACAGTTTTCAGAGGAAAAAGTCCCACTAGAAAGGCCAAAGCGATGCTTCCCTGCACTGCATCCTCATGTGAGCCGTGCCCCTCACCCTCCGGATGCTGGAGAGTCATTCTGAAGAGCAGGACTCACAATCAAGGCGGTCACACATATTTATAATATGCCCCCTCTCTTCTCTGTGTTCAGCAAAATAAGTTTGATACCAAAAATTAAAAGCCGAGGAGTTGCCAATACACGTACAAAATCTACAACAATCACTTGTAATTTACTCTCCTTCCATCCTGTTTAAGGATTTGAACGCAAGAGCAAGAAGTGTGGTAGCAACACGTCAGATTTCCTCTCTTCTGCTATCTGGAACTCCATCAGGATGACAGCAGTTCCCAAAAAAGGGATTGAACAAAACACATCTCTCTTGCCTTCTAGAGCCCGGTTTACTCCACCTTCACTTTTTCCACTGAGCCTCTCCCTAGGATGGCTCACGACGAGAATGACTTTGCATTATGAGCGGGGCAGCTCTCCGAGCATGAGTCAGAGTCAGAAGCAAGCAGCGCCAGCTCTGGAAATAGCTAGCGCCTGCAACTTCCCTCCAAGATGGGAGCCAGTGGTTACACAGCGGGCCTGGCCCAAACCTCCCCGGCTTGGAGGTCAAAGGCCAATGAAACAGATACAGTGTGTGAGAGTGTGTGTGTGTTCACATGCACACGTCCTCCAACTGCGTGCACACGGGTCCATCAGCAAGCTTTGCGGGAAGACAGTTCAGCATCACTTCTCTTGTCTGGTGCTCTATGGCTGGGCGATGCTACTGCTGACCACGCCACTGACTCCATCTCTCAGACAGACTCAAAATGTGCCAGGATGAGCATCGCAGGGGCCTCAGCCGGGACTTCTCCCGGGGCTTCTCTCCAACACCTTTCACTTTGTGGGGAGGGAGGGCACCATCTACAAGTCTGAAGCAGCTCACTACCTACCTTATTTCTTTATTTATTTTTACCGGCCTATTTTGGGCACTACCGTTCTGTATCTGCCAGTTGTGTTGCAGAGAAAACACAACCAGCTTTTTTCCTAAACAAAATACTGTATCCCTACTCACTCTGCCCTGCCAACAGTGCAGAGCGCTCTGGTAAACTAGTCTTTCATAATCCAAGTTCAGCATTACTTTTATCCATACTGTTATGGGTGGAGGAGGTACAATTTGGCCTGCAAGCCAACAGCCAAGTCAGAGAGGATATGGAAAAACTTCACTTAACTCTAAATCTGCAATACACCAAGGTACAACTAACATGCATTAAGACTTATCTACACAGACTGAAGAAGAGGAGTTTGTGACAGTACCTTTACTGCATTCCAAAATAAAATGCCTAGTTATCTGGTCACACCTATGTTTGATTTAAAAACAACACAAGAACAATTTCATGTTGCAGTTGCTTGGTCCTATGACAAGCATCACGAAAACTTCAAAGAACCTGTGCCCTGTAAAAGTCACTAATATAACATGAAAAGTAAGATTTCATGTCAAGCTGCAGGCACCCAGCTGCCTCACCGAGGAGTCTTCGCCTGCTCTCTGGAATGACAGCCTTCAAAATCGAACCAAGCCAGGGTGGGCAGGTCCTCTGTAAACCAGAAAGACCCTCACTCTGACCAGGTTTCTGGGCCACAAGGAAGGGCCTTGTAGGGGCATCCTGAGTCTCCCAGACCTTCTTTCCCTGTTTCCCTCAGTGTCTGTGCCCCACAAAACAACAAAGACCAGCTCGACACGCTTCTGAATCTAAAGCTGCTCCTCCCCCATACTTTACTTTGGGGAGCGACCCAGGCAGACAGTGAAAAGAACAAAAAAGGGGACACACCTGTTTCTAGTCCCAGGCCTGTGACCTGAAACCCTCAGGGTTGCCCTGGCCAGTGGCTCAGTTGGTTGGTGCACCACCCAGTACACCGAGAGTTTGCGGGTCTGATTCCCAGTCAGGGTACATACCCAGGTTGTGGGTTCAGTCCTGTCAGGGCACATCCGGGAGGCAACCGGTCACGCGATGTTTCTGTCTCTCCCTCCCTCTCTGTGAAACCAATAAACACATCCTTGGGTGAAGATTAAAACAAAACAAAACACCTCTCAGGGCCTCCATGTTCTCACATGTAAAGTAAGAGTTGGAATTAGAAAAGCTGTCCGACCTTCTCCAAATCTAACAACTCCAGTCCTGTAAGGCCCCCAGAACAACTGCTGAAGTGCAACGAGCTGTTCAGCTTCCCACGTGACAGTCCCCCGTCGCCTCCTCTCTGTGGCCTGACGCACTCAGGTTTCAGGACCTCACGCGGCTTCGCAGCACTGTACCCACAGCAGGCTCCTCCTGGGGCTCTGATTCATGATTTCTCCAGTTATTTTACAGGGATCCTTGCTGGTGTGATTTTATTTTCTGAAGTTACTTCAACTTTTAGCTCTTCCTGATGTCCTGGGCGGCAGCACGGTACCGAGACGAGACTTCCACGGATGCTAAAACTGTTCTAACATTTAGAAACTCAACGGGACCAAAAATCTTTTCAGAGAAAATAACCATTTCACAGACCATTACCTGTACTAGAACTCACTTTTTTATGAAATAAATTAAAACATCGCAACTCTGCCTAGCAAAGCTAACACCAGTGGCTGGACCTTCCTGCAAACAAGAAATGCGCTGTAAGGTGGCAATGGAGGAGAAGTGCTCAACAGCGAGTGCTTTTCATCAGCTGGGCATCTGCATAAGCCCCACCAGCCTTCAAAGGAACTTCAAATCAAAGCAGTCTGAGCAAAAAAAAAAAAAAGCAATGACTTATTAAGTATAAAGATAGTTATAGATGGATCTAAAATGGAGCTTTGCTAGAAAACAAGCCTCATCAACCACCTGAAGAGCACTCTGGGTGCTCCCCGCCTGCAGCAGGAACGACGACAGTTCTGTCCACTACAGAGGACGAGCTGGAGAGAGATGCAAATGGAGCAATGCAGCAGCGCTGAGCAATGCACTGGCCGTCTGGCATATAAAGCCAGGAGAGAGACAGAACCTACAGGCTTGTAAAAGTACTACTGCTGTATCTGCGGCAAACCTAAGAACAGTTACAGGAAGAAACCAAGGCTGGCTTATTTTTAATCTATAAATTTACTTACAGGCTAAATAAATACTTTCCTGTCTCACTGTTGTGGAGAAGAAAATGCAAATGAATGGTGCTGCTATCCACACGCCATTGGTGCTCTAACATGTATTAAATACCTAGCAAGGGCCAACTGTCTTCATCCCTACAAGGCTCCACTGAGGTAAGTATTGCCCCTTTGACAGGATGGCACGTGGTGGCGCAGTCAACATGGGACCACCTTGGAAGCCAGGTCTGAGTGGCCCAAGCCTGTGCACTGCCACTGGGGACAGAGTCACTTCTTCAGGACCGGAGCATACCTCTGCGGAAACAACTGCATTTCATCAGAGGAAATTCCAGAGGGGATAAGAATGGGTCGTTCTACTAAGATCAAAAGAAAGCCACACCCAACAAGGCTACAAGGACACAGAGGACCCTGAGTCACAGGCAGCCAGGAGTCTGAACAAAAGCAAGTTGTTGCAACTCTGAAGCTTGAAGACTGTGGGCTCAGTGACTCACTGGGAACGTTGGGTGAGACATTTAGATTTTCCACTTACTGGGCCACTGCCTTCTGACCTGTGAAATGAAGGACAAAAGCACATTAGGGTATCTGGGCACTTATATCCGAAGTGTCCAGATGAGGCAGAGAACTGGGAACCTTAAACACTGCCGGTGGGAATGTAAAATGGTGCAGCCACTTTGCAAAAGTCTAGCAGTTTCTTAAAAAAAAATGTACCAAAATTATGGTCAAGCCATGCCAGTCCTACGTATCTACCCAAGAGAAATGTGTCTACACAAAGATAGCTAAGTCACTATTCATAACTGCCAAAAACTACACACAAAAAAAATCCAAATATCTGTCAATAAATGGATAAACAAAATGTACACACACACAACACAAATAGC